CTTTTGAAATTCAGACTCACTGTGTTATCCTTGGAGGTGTCAAAAACTCCTAGAATCTAAATGGGTGCAAAAATGTAAATACTCTTTTATTCAAAGAAAGTATTTATTTAAACCTGCATGGTCTCAGAATTGAACCGTACCATATCTACCATATTTCATGATTTTTCAAATGAATAAACATACCTTTCCAGAATGGAAATGCACAATAAATGCATCCTTTATATGGTCAAACCCACCAGTCTTCTCATCCACAGCCAGGGGTTTGGTGGTGTCACTTGAACTGGGAGTAAGTTTTAGATCTTGAATCTGAGAGAAAAGAGTTACAGCCACATGCAAGACTGCGGACACAAGTATTTATAGAAGCAATACATGTAGTACACTCTTAAAAAAGAAGGTTCTTCAGGGGTTCTTTGGTAAAGAAAATGGTTCTATATAGAACAATTAACACTCTAAGAATCCTTTGCATGATTAATTGGTTCTTTGGATCATAAAACGGTCCTTCCTTTTTGAAAAAGGTTCTATATAGCACCCAGAAAGGCTCTGCTATTGTTACAAACTTGACATTGTAACAATAGAAGAACAATTTTTGCTACTATGTAGAACCCTTTTCACTAAGGTTCTATATAGAACCAAATACAACACATTCACTATCAACCTGAAGAACCATTTCACCAGGCAAAGAACCCTCTAAGCATGCAAATGGTTCTTTGAGTGTTCATGGGTCTATACTGAACCACTGTCTTTACTAAAGAACCTTTAAAGAGCCATCTTTTTTAAGAGTGTAGCTAAAATGTTCCTTGAGATATTCACTGTGTAAAGCTTAGAATATTATCATCATCCAAAAACCCACTTTAACATGTAGGAGCTGTTCTTCCTGGTTCTGAGGGTTCTTCCATAGCGAGTGGACCTGAATTACTGCCTCAGCAGTGGTCAGAGGGACATCTCCAAAGTCCACAGAAATAGGAGCCACTGCCATGGACGTGCTGTACTCATACTCATACAGGACCCCCGCTTCAAAGTGTAGGGCTTTACTGAAGACACCTAAAAAACATCAGCACTGTTACTAGTAAAACCATCCTTCAAAAGTGTACTGTAGTTATAGACCTAATTACATATGAATTATTTCTTTCCAAAACACATTACCAGCACTTTCAAGAATTTTCTTTTTTATGACATACATCAAGAAATATAAATGCTATATTTATACAGAAATTAATTTTACATACATGTATATGTCAGCTACTATTCTTTTCATAAACAAATTTGTTACACATTGACATACAGCTTTTTGGAATGAAACTCTTCACGTGAACTCAAGACCACGTACAAACACTATCATCAGAGAAGAATACATTACAGTTATGTTTGAATAGGAAACCACAGCAATTCAGTAATACGTTAGTTGTCAGTACATAGTGCTTCAGCATTAGAGCTATAAACTCAAAAGCAAACAGCTAAATTAATGAAATCTCCCAAAAATTCCCACTTCCACTCCTGCACTGAGCACTAAATAGCTCAGTGTGTTTCCTGCTTCAACACATTCATTTCATTTAAGACAATAAAATGAAACTTTCTAGATTTAAACTGTTTGAACGTGCATGGAATCTGTCAGGAAAATCATTCAGATAAATAAATTCCCATTACCCTTCACGCCATCTCTAATTCCAGAAAGAAGAAGTAGGCAACATGTCAGACACACCGCAGGCTTCATGTTTCTGTGCTGGAGTTCCAGAATATACTGGCAGCTTTACTAAGTCAATTTGACAAGGTACAGTGTCAACAAAAACTTGGTCCAAATGAAAAAGGAGATGATGCAATTCAGAAGCTGAAAATCTGCCAGATCTTGCTTTCTGCACAGACAAACGCTACATATATTTTTTTCTTTGTGGTATTCAGTGCTTGGAATATACTGTGTGAAGAGCTGTGAGGAGTAACTTCATCTATTAAACACTTGAGTGTATTTGTTTTATAAATATCATGATGCATTAACAGTTTCTATGTGTTGAAAACTAAAAATGATCATTCAACACTGCGCCCAAATTAGATTGCTTATTTAACAGTTTATATTTTTATTTATTGTGTACTTTTAATTGTAGGATAATAGAGAAATAATCAGCTAAAAACAAAAAAGACTATACACTGTCATATGTTCACAAGAGTACTTATTTGTAACATCATTCAATGGATTAATAACATACTAACTTATAGATAGCCTTATTATGGCCTAATATGAAAGACATTCTCTTACATCATCTATTTCAATCTTTCCAAGATTTCCCCTTGTACATACAATATAATTACCTTCCTTAAATGGAGTTTGTCATGCAAACTGTCTAATGATCAGGGCAAATGAAGACACAGTGTTGATCCAGCATTATCCTCTGACTTTATAGATCAGCCCACCATTCTTCATTAATAATCTAGATTTGACAGAGTATATCAGTGCAAGGTCTCTCTGACCTCACGTGTGAACAAGCTGGAGTCTAGCTGGAAACTCGAAAGTTTAACTCTGTATTCTGAGAGGTAAAAAGGTCAGATTTCTGTGAGATTTATCAGAGTGAAGGCCTTATCAGCAAGTGAACTTCAGGTGTACCTGGCCTGCGATAAGGAGGGTAGAGGCTTAACAGGGCACAGTGACACTACTGAAATTGATCTGTTCAAACTGAACTGAGTCCACAGTTTTTGCCTAATACGTCTACTACAGCAGGGCTTGTTCTCAAGTAAAAGCCTGTCTCATTTCAGATAAATCCATGTTTCTGTTAAAAAGACATGAAAAACATTTTAAACCAAACTGCTCTCATGCATAATGTAGTTTACAAAAGCATGCTTGAGGGTGGTTTTGCTAAGTGGAGTTGTCACAGTTGTTTCATACAAGCCTTCTTTGTCCTCTTTCAGCCCGGTTTCCAGTGTTATGTATGTGGTCAGGAGTTCTGGAATTCTTCCACTTACATGAGACTGCATACCACTCTAATGTTGATATACATGTTGTTGTCCTCCTATAGCAGGCTACCATGCTGCTTCTTTGCTCTAGGATTGTTGCTAAACTCTGGATGCACAACAAAATTTGGATTTAAAGATCTGATAGAGTTGTTTCTTTTTTTGTTTTTCTCTAAGAATGTTTTGTTGGGGGGCAGGGGTGTAAAAATAATAGAAAAATTGTATTTAAGTGAAAGTGTGGGTACTGTACCAAAATTTTGCTCAAAAGAAGAAGTATAGAGCAAAAAAAAAAATGTTCAGTGAAAACAATAAAGTATATACATGTAGTCATACTCAGTAAAGTAAAATGTTTATAATTTAACAAATAATTTGTTTTGCTTTATTCATTTGCTGATGTGTGGTGTAGTTGTGTGTTAGCATAGTTGTGGGCAGTTGCATTTTATGAAGTTGGTTGGGTTTTTTAATAAAAACAATGCATTAAAATGTATGGGAACTCAACTGGACAGAGAAAAGGAGAAAATTTGCCTTTGAGATTTGTACCTATGGAAGGTCTAAATCAGTGGTCACCAACCTTCCTTGAGGACTTGAGGAGGTCCTGCCTGCAGAGTTTAAATCCAACCAATCAATCCATCCAAATCTGATCCACACAGCCCAGTTCTGAAGTAGATAATTAGCTGAAGCAGGTGTGGCAGACTGAAGTTGGAACTGCACTCCAGTTGCAAGTTTTAAAGTATTCAATGAATTACTATTCAATTTCAATACTACTTGACCATAAAGTACAAATTTTCCAAAATAATACTTAATGAAGTACTATTTGTATTTTCCACCCTTGACTTGGGGCTTATATCAAACCTGTACATAACCTTTTGATGTTGCTCTTTCAACAAATGTTGCTCTTTTAACCAATCATAATATAATTGGTTAAAATAGCAACATCAAAAGGTTATGTACATGTTTGATTCCGTAAAATTTCGACCCAGATGCTATTATTAGCTCAAAAGAGCAATCTCAAGCTCTTAGACTGGAAACCTTTAGCCTACTTGCCTATCACCAGAGAATATCTGTGTGAGTAACTCCCACTTCATGGTGTCTTTCAGGTTGATCAGACACTGGAGGGCGCTCGCTGTGGAAATGATTAAACACTTTTTCACACAACGCAGAGTAGCGTAACATGTTTCAACACTACTGTCGTATTTCTGCTGCTTTTCAACTAACGTTAGCACTTTGTAACAGTGCCTTTTAACATTGTTGACGTTGTTCAAACCATTTTACACTGACCAATCAATCAGCATGTCATTTGCAGTAATGCTGTCTCAATGTATTATTTTTTTGTTTATTGAATTATTTTATGTAATTCATTCTGCCTTCCCAACAGCAAATACATTTACTGTGTGAATGACTACAAACACATTTAATTAGCTGATTAGCTTAGGACTCCTTGATCGTGCCCTCCAGCATTTAATGGAAAGTGAGGGTCCTAACTGGCTCTGCACAAATGACCATATGCCGCTTTGAAGTTTAGCTCAATATGATTATTGGCTGAATCGTAAATGGCTCCCTATTGGACTTGTAGTGGATTGGACTTGGTGCAGGAGACAGTTTTTAATGTCCACAGTAGTTCACCCAGAGCCGGTTCTGGGTTCACCTATGTAGGGAAGCCATTTGGTATTCGGCTGTTCCGGATCTACCGGCAGACGCTGCACGACTGACACCTAGAGGAGCACAGATAGACCTTATTTGTGGAGGAGCCACTGAAACTATGACATTATGACAATTTAATTTGAAGTTTATTTGTTTTGTATTTCATAGAATATGTATTCTATACAACAGTATACAATATGCTATTTCTTTCTGTATGTGTTAAATTCCTAAATAAATACCCGAATTTAAAAACGTAAATTAATTTTACTTGTGTTCGTACAGTGAGTACAGTCTGTGGAAATACATTTCCATGACTTTTAGGTAATCATCATGTCTGAATGTATTTGTGCAGCATATTTTCCCGCCACTTCGTGTTCAGATATTTATTTTTTGAGTCTGCCTTTACAGTCAGGCAAGTGCGAGAACCTACCAACCGTCAGGCATATTGTTGGGCACCTTTAGGTCCTCCTTCCTTTTTCTCGTCCCTGAGCGAGCCGACGCCAAGATGGTGCGTTAGTGTGATACTAAAAAATGAAGAAAATCCTTTAAAATCTTGATCATCGTAAAACCGGAGTTCTTTGAAATACCGTAATAATAAGTTATGAGTAGTATAGGTACATAATATAGCTGTATTGCGATGACTGTAAATGTGTATATGTACTTTCTTTAGTCTTTACTGAGCTCGGGTTTGACCAAGTTCTCCAAATGAGCTTAACGCGGTGTTTGATCAATTACTGACTAAAGAAAGCCGGATAGCAGGATTACACATCTGATATATGAATGCTAGGTCTTATTTTCAATTGTTATTAGTCTGTGGGAAACACACTGACCGTGTTAGCCAACGCTAAGCTAGGGTTTTGCTAGCATGGAGAATCGGAGATGCTGTACGTTGCATTTCGCCATGTTTTATACACGGATTGGTAATGTGTTGATATTGGCTTTATAGTGCTTGTCTTTGAGAAACGTGTGGTTTGAAGAGAGGCGCTTCAGTAATTCGGATATCATAGCTCTTGATTGAAGTCGATAATGCTGGGTTAGCCTGCTAGCTTTACTTGCAGGCCACTTGAATTTAGTTACTTGGCCAGCAGTTACCCAACAACTTCAGGTTGGGTATCTTAAAACTAATATACAGACAGGTGGTCACATGACTGTGTGAGTAGTTTGACGGGTACCACGCGCCTGAATTGAGAGATTTGGCTTATGTCTGATGGAACGAGTGTGAAGTTTCTATTGGTCACCCATCATGTAACCGTATATGCAGACATGCCGCTAAAGTCCGATTCTCTACATAAATTTGTTCCACTGCTTTCCATTGCAGAACGAAACCGTCACACTTAGGACTCGGAAGTTCATGACAAACCGCTTGCTTCAGAGGAAGCAAATGGTAAGTGTGTATGTAGAAGTTTGATGGATGGTTCACATTGTTCTTGAGCTTGGTGTTGATTCTAAGATTTTGGTGGATAATCGTGGTGGCACACTTTCCATTTCAGGTTCTCGATGTCCTCCACCCTGGCAAAGCAACAGTACCCAAGACTGAAATCAGGGAAAAGCTTGCCAAGATGTACAAGACCACCCCTGATGTAGTGTTCGTCTTTGGTTTCAAGACTCAGTTTGGAGGTGGCAAAACGACAGGATTTGCCATGGTCTATGATTCTTTGGATTATGCCAAGAAGAATGAGCCCAAATACAGACTGGCCAGAGTAAGTCACTGCTTTGTGCCTTTCCTTATTTTGTTCAATCTGCCTGCATGTGGAGATTATTCCAGTCTGATAAAGTTACACAAATGATGGGGGTGATGCTTTCATGTGTTCTAAGACTTGAAAAAATCTGATCAAGTGTTTAAAGGTGTTAATTTTTGTTATTTAATAGCACGGACTCTATGAGAAGAAAAAGACATCAAGAAAGCAGCGCAAGGAAAGGAAGAACAGAATGAAGAAAGTACGAGGCACCAAGAAGGCCTCCGTTGGTGCTGCTGGCAAGAAGGTAAGATCAGTCTGTCAAATTTACTGCCAGTCTATTCCAGGCTTTAGAACATTATTTGCTGAACTTCTTCATTCACACATTTCTGCTCTATTTTAATGTCATCTTCCCCCTCTCATGTATTTCTCGATTGTAGAAGGTAAACTTCTTTATGATAGGGTGTCTGGAGTAACAGCTGACGTTAGCTTATTACTTTTAATACCTTGTAAAACAACGAGTGTAGACTACATGTTCAAGTTGCATGTAATTGCAGGTTACTTATAGTTAAGTCCTTGCCATCTACCTTCTTCCGTTATGGGTAGTGTGCCTGGCTTGTACACTAATTGTGAGATGATTTAAGTGATTAGATCATTTAATATGCTAAATACATAATCTGATTAATGGTTGCAACAAGTTGTATAACAAACGGGGTGCAATGATATCTCTTGTTCCCACTGAAATACTTGGATAAGGCGTTGGTCTAAAATAAGATTTCTTTTCTGATTTCTTTATTTTTGAGAGCAGTTGTATGTGTTCATACTGAACAAATGTCATTTTCCCTCCATTTATGCCCTTTTTTATTTTGCCTCCTGGGATGTTTTCAGAAATGAGGTCAGGAAAAGGTAGAACAGAAATCGGCATGGTGTGCTGATTGCAATCCACTTTTACCTTTAGTTGAGTGCTTTGCATGTTAAATCCCAGTGCCTCACCTCTGTAGAAAATCCACACAGTTTTGAGTTGTGTGCAGATCACTTGCTGAGCTCAAAAACTTATACATTAACTGTTTTGTCACTTGTGTGAGACAAATGTAAGCCAGTTTGGGAGCAGCATGACATTTGTTGTTTTAACTTTGTACTTTTTCTGAAAAGTAATACAGATGTTAAAACTCAACTGCATGCTTGCTCATTTGTGACTTACCAAGTGAACTCTATACTACTTGACCCCAAGTATCACCCTGTGATGTCTGTAGTAAAGCACCTATAAATTATATACAGCATAGTAACAATAGATCATGGTGTCTTTACATTGGTAATGTTAAACAAGTCATCCTGGATGTTGGAAATTTTTTTGCTGCTGTCTAAATTATGCTTTCTTTTTCCTTTCAACAGTGAGACCTTCAGGGAAGACCATCCTGAAAATGTTCTTGTATATTGTCAAATAAATTTAAAAAAAAGAAATTGTCTTCAGGATTTTTTTTATTGCCCTAATGTGGTGTTGCTGTAATTTCTTATTCTAATTTGTGAAAATTAGACGGACTGTAAAGAATAGGGAAGTTTCACTATAAAATCCTGTTTACACAATGTTCCCTTAAACGATGTTTGATTGTGAGTAATATTTTCCAAAGTTTCTTTATTTCCTTGTAAACCCCCCCCCCCCTCAAAACCAGTTGTTCAGATTCTCCTGAAACTGGCATCAAAATAGTTGACTTTTCATAATAGTCAGTCCTCCTGGGGCAGAGCTTGGTTAACCAAAACAATTGAATGCTCTGACTCCTGAAACTACAGCCTGTACCTTTTAACTGCAAGGTAACTTACCAGTATTAGTGACTGTTTAATACATGGTGCTACATTGCAGAGACCACTGCCTAGGATGAAAAGAATGTTACGACATGTTTTCTAAATTTTGTAGGTGACCGGGTGTTCCATGTTGACTAAAGCAGTTTAGACAGATGTTTATGGGGTCATGCTATTAACAGTAACTTCAAATGAAGTCCTAATTGGGGGGCTAATTGCACGTTGTACCTAAATTCTTAGCTCTGGCTGTAGTGTTGTGGGTTCTTTTTTTTTTCTTGTGTGTGTGCAAGTTTAGGTTGTGATGAGCCTTAAACCTGTGTAAGAAAATACTGAGGCTTAAAGAGAAGCTGTGCAGTTAATCTTCAAATCTTTAAAGTCTGTGTGTACAAACTGGAGCAAATCTGTCTGGATGAATGGCACATTGACCCCAAAGCTACATGCTGGTAGGAGAGTCCCGTTACCCTTTTAGATTCTATATTCAGGAAATTAAACTTTGTTAACCAAATGCAAGTTTTCCAGGTTGAACTAATTGGAACCTTGGGTATTGTGAAGTGTAGTTAGCTGTACCTGCACTCTTAATACATTTTTAAAAAGGGCTGTTAACCACAGTTTTTTGTTTACCAACCCAAACTTTGGATAATAAGCTTTCTAGACTACTTTTTATGCATGTAATGCATATAATCCTCAAAGTGATCCACAGACCAAAATAAACCAGCAAGCAAATGCTAAACAAAAAAGACAAAGTATTCAAGGTAGAAAGGTAATAGAAATAGTTGTAATAAAAGCAACTGAGTGTAAATTCAGTGCAGCTATAATAAAAAAAAAGTAATGAGAATTTTTTAGGTGCATTAAAAAAAACTGCCTCACCACAGCAGATTTGTCTTTGGAGATCAGTGTTTTGACCTTATTTAAAGTTCAACAAAAATCCATACATCATGTAAATGTTTTAGGAGGAACCCCCAAACTGGTATAGAACCTTTGTGGTGATTATTTAAACTTAAGAAAGGTTCTATGATCACCTTTCTTTTCAAACATGGTTCTTTAGGGAGCCAAAAGTGGTTCTTCTAATATACGCCATGGCTCTATAACAATCCTTTGTGGCACATTTTCTGTGTTTAAAAGATTGTGGTTTGTTTTTCTAGAGGTGTCCACTGTATCACTGATAAGTACATTGCACTGGCAAGCCCAGTTTAAGATAAGGGGACTGTAGTGCATTTTTATTACCCTCAGAAGCTTGTATAGGTAACTCACTGCATTAAATTGGAGAAATAGAGCCGTGGGTGTCCCACAGCAGTGTTTTTGCAGTTTTTAAAGCATCTTATTACAAGCTAGGGTGAAGCTGAGAACCCTGCTGCTGCTCTTAGTACAGTGATTTGAAGAGCTCAGGAAGTGGCAGACTGTTCAAAGAACTCTGGGTAGTGGAGAATGCCGCTGGGTTAGAAAGCCTTGTGTAAACTGTTTCTTTAGGGTTGCACTGTAACTGCAGAAACCCAAAGCTCCTGTGGGCAGAGACCTTGGTGTACACACTGATTTATGATTCACAAAACAGTGGGAACAGGAGGGGAAATCTGAAGATTTCATGCCTCTGTGTTCCCACCTCAGGGCACGGTGTGTCTCTAAGGAATATTTTATTGACAACACAGGTGCAGAGAAGAGTGTGCAGAATGAAACAAAAAAAAAAAAAGAAATGTGCTCTATGAAATACATAAGCTCCAAAACGTATTAATGGAATAATAAGTTTTTTATATGTAAATAAGATGAATGCCCCTTCCCTTGTCCTCCTAATTTTATGCATGATTGCTTCTGTTCTTGAAAAATGAAGCATACAAAGAAACCCCTTTGAATGTGTTAAGAAGAAGGGAACAGCTCAGTTGTGTGGCAGCGAAGCAAATGTTAAGTGATGCCCGGATTGGCTGACACTCAGGCTGCCCTGGCCTTCCTGCTGAGCTGAAACACCACAAAGCCATATTGGTAGAAAGTGTGGAACAAAGACAGTTGTGCGGTGTGTTGATTCCGTTCTATCCACATTACGCAATGTGTATGAAAGACCTGGTCGACATTCTCTGAAGAGCATTTCATTAGTATGCCTGTAAACAGCGATTAAATATGCACATAATCAGAGTGGATAACAACCGAGCATCCCACAGGATCCCTGAGGTTCGCATTACATTATATTACATTATTTATTTGCTCGGCAGATGTCCTTACCCAGGGCAATGTTCAGTAATTATATTTTTACACTGATCATGGCTACGTTCTCAAGGCCGCGTGCAAGCAGGGCTGTAGCGCGAGGTGCAGGCACTGAGCTCGAGCAGCTCACCTGAAGTAATTGCACGCCTCCATCTGTGCTTTGAAGTACAAAGGCGAGGCGCCACACCACGTGCAGAAGAAGGAGCGCACCTCCTCGCGCCAGTAACAAGAGCTGCCACTTGGGGGCTCCTTCTGACTGCGTTTCGTGGCCTGACTCTTTGTAATAATCAGTCACACACACTGCACACAAAAACACATTCCCTGTGGCGGAGCTGATTCAGTATTCCACTGGCTGATTTATGCAGAACAATTCTCCACAGGAATGGCTGGAGCCGGGGAGTGGAGGGGGGTAAAAATGTCTCGGGAAAAAAAAAAAACGAAGGAAAGAAAAAGAGTGTGGTAAAAAATAATTATCTGTGGTGTCACTGTAGCAACAATCTTTGAGGCTGATGTCAATAAAATATTGAACAGCACAATCACTTCGGATTTGATCTGAGCGGCGCTGGCGGTGGGTCAGGCAGAGCCGCAGGAGTGAAGCTCGGAATTTTCCGGAAAACGTGGGCTGAATGCAGAGTGGGAGCGCAGCACTGTCTGCAGTCATTTAACATGTCAAAACACTCTGACTGCTCCCCGTCTGCAACCTGCGTACTGCGAGTTGTGCTGCTTGGAATGAGCCTCGTGTCTGAATGATGTGCTCCCTAAATGTCAGCCTAAGTCATTTCACACTGTTTTAATCTGTATCTCGTGTTTCTCCTGCCGCTTGTCATTTCTGCGCCTGGTGACGCCTGAGGTTTCATTCATAGAGCGAGTGTCATTATATTGCTATGCACACCTTACTCTCCTGTTGTTAATCAGGCTTCTTGGCCTGTTGTATCTCACTGCTGCTCTTCACCTGGACCTTTTAAACTATCACGGTGACTGGACATCTGTTTTTTAATACCAACAAAGCAAATTTATTAATCATGTGATCAGTTTTGGCCCAAATTTGATGGCAGACATTCTCTTTTCTCACACACACTATCATGCTACCACGAACGTCAGTGTCAATGCGGTGCTGAGAATGATCCACCACTCAAATAATACCTGCTCTGTGGTGGTCCAACAAGGGACCAACAAAATATGCAGAGATACAGATGGACTACAGTCTGCAACTGTAGAACTACAAAGTGCACCTATATGGTTAGTGAAGCTGGTAAAATTGACGAGTGTAGAAACAAGGAGGTCTTCCTAATAAATTGCTTAGTAAGTGTACATGTACTGTATGCATTTATATGTGTTCTATTTATGGTGTACAAATACCGTCGTGCACATTTTGGTACTTTTCCAGCTGAATGTGTTTGGAAATGTTGGAATTCTTCACGTTTTAATTTAATACATTTCCTTATTAAATGTATTAAATAAAGTTAGAATTTTAAAGCAACAATATACTTATAGATACAGTACTGTGCAAAAGTTTTAGGCAGCTGAGGACATTATATTTTAAAAAGCTATTAATCTGGGCAGTCAGTGTTAATTTGCTCAGAAAAAAAACACTAAAATGAAAATAAGTGCAAATAATAATGTATAAAATCCATTAATCAGATGATCACTTTTGGCTCAAACTTGATGGCAGACATTCTCTTTACTCAGGGTGCAGGCAGTTATGTGATTGTATGATGACTTGTCCTGTATGGTTTGTCCTGGTTACAGTCTACAGTGCAGCCTGTAAACAACTGGATAGTGATCCTTTTTTTGCTATGGCTACATACTCAGACACATTGGCTTTCAGCTTTAAATTTGGGTATTTATATTTCTTGAAACAGTCTCTTCCCGTTTTGTATTACAGAGAATCATAAGCAACTGGACAACTGGCTGCTTGGCTGTGTCATCAAAATGAAAGCACTAGATGTGTCATTTTTGTTGTCTCTCAACATGTGGACTAAAGAAATGTTGGTGCCAGTATCATTAGCCAGAAAAATAGAACTGACCAATTAGAGACTGAGTCAAAAAATTAGATGTTTCAAAACATGTTGTTTGGCACAGTTAGAAGACCACAGTATGCCAAACATAGAGCATAAAACTGGAAAACTGGTAACCCATTTAAGCCTACCGGCAGCTTTAGTTGCTGCAGTGTATGCCCAGCTTTGCACTTTTAAAAACATAGTGTTATACAGCTTTTTAAAGATTTGCACATGATATTATACAATTATACAAAGGATTGTTATAGACACATAAGAACTTCACTCCACGTTAAAACCAATTTCTGGCAGCTACATCCTGGATACATGACTTTATCAGTTCTTTCAAATAAAAGCTAAAATCTATATGTTTACTGTACATGTCAACATGTTTGCATTTAATAAATTGGTACATTATTACATTGTTATCTCTCAGAAAGCTTCAACAAATAAAAATGTATATTACTTATATT